CCCATGTGGTGGGGTTGGGTCATGGGCTGGGTTGATGATCTCAGAGGTGTTTTCTGGCCTCAGCAATTCTGTGATGCCCTGAGTGTCGTGCCTGATGAAAGGGACCATCCCCGTCCTGCCATCAGCCTATGTGTACCTGTGCTTCCATTGCAGAAAATAGGAGAGGACTATGTGCGGGACCTGAGCCAGCTGACAAAGCTGCACGAGTTTGTGGACGATGACCTGTTCATCCGGGAGGTTGCCAAAGTGAAGCAGGTGAGGGGTGCGGGCATAGAGGGAACACACAGAGGCTGGGGGGGGGACACGGACTGACATGCTCCCTGCCCTGGCCCAGGAGAACAAGGTGAAGTTCGCGCTGTACCTGGAGAAGGAGTACAAAGTGAAGATCAACCCTTCCTCCATGTTCGACGTGCACGTGAAGAGGATCCACGAGTACAAGCGGCAGCTGATGAACTGCCTGCACATCGTCACCATGTACAACCGTAAGTCACCGCGTGTGCCGAGGGGACGAGCTACCCCGGGGAGGGGCATGAGCACCCCTGCACCCTGGGGCTGCGGCTAAAACAGAGGGTCACACCACACTGCTGTCTTCTCCAGGCATCAGGAGGGACCCTGCAAAGCTCTTCGTGCCAAGGACAGTGATCATTGGGGGCAAGGTAAGTTAGGTCAGGAGTTCTGGACACTTTGGAGGATGTCCTTGAAGATGCCCCAGGGGATTTGGGTGCAGATGTCTCATGGGTTGTGTGTCTGTGAAGCTCTCCAGGAGGTACCAGGGTAATGTTTTTGGGGGGCTTGCACAACCATATGCTGCCTGTGGCCATGCAAACTAAGAACCTGGTGGCCCCGACATGAGCTGGAAGAGGTGATGGGAGCAGATGTGCTTCCCCGGGCACATGGGAGCTGAGTCCTCCTCGCCTGCCCCTCGCACTAGCCCTCCAGGCTCACCCCTAGCTTTTCTCCTAGGCTGCCCCAGGTTATCACATGGCTAAAATGATCATCAAGCTCATTAACGCCGTGGCTCACGTGGTGAACAACGACCCTGCTGTGGGCAGCAAGCTGAAGGTCATCTTCCTGGAGAACTACCGGGTCTCACTGGCGGAGAAAGGTAGCCCACATGGGGCACGCTCTGGGGAGTGCATGTCTGCCCTGTGCCTGTCCACCAGCCCGTGGCTCCGTCACTGCCAGACAGCAGATCTGATGTCCTTCAGCACGGTACAAACCCAAAGCTGGTCACCGTGAGCTCCTTGTGTCCGTGTGTTTTGTTGGCAGTGATCCCTGCTACCGACCTGTCGGAGCAGATCTCCACAGCGGGCACCGAGGCGTCGGGTACAGGGAACATGAAGTTCATGCTGAACGGGGCTCTGACCATCGGCACCATGGATGGGGCCAACGTTGAAATGGCCGAGGAGGCTGGAGAGGAAAACCTGTTCATCTTCGGCATGAGGGTGGAGGACGTCACGGAGCTGGACAGGAAAGGGTGAGGGCTGAGGGCGCTGCAGGGGGGCCACCACAAGCAGCCAAAGCAGCCAAAGCAGCTCCATCTCCTGTCAACCCTTCCCTGCCAGGTATGACGCCCAGCAGTACTACAACCGGCTCCCCGAGCTGAAGCAAGCCATTGACCAGATTAAGAGTGGCTTCTTCTCCCCAGAGGAGCCTGACCTCTTCAGAGACGTGGTCAACATGCTGTTCCACCACGACCGGTGAGGCCTAGGGTGCCATCCCTCCCCTGGGGGTTGGGCCTTTCCACCAAACTCCTGGTGCCCGTGCAGAGCAGCCCCATGCACCAACCATCTCTCTCTGGTCCTGGTGTTGTGCGTGTGGATGGACAATTGGTGGCCAGGTTGGACGGGGCTTTGAGCAACCTGGTCGGGTGGGAGGTGTCCCTGCCCGTGGTAGTGAAGTTGGTATGAGATGATCTTAGAATCGTAGAATCATAGAACATTTTAGACTGGAAGAGACCTTCAAGATCATCGAGTCCAACCTTTTCCTATCCCTATCAACACCACTAAAAGGTGGCGATCTTGAAGGTCCCTTCCAACCCAAGTGCTCCATGGCACTTCATGCTTGCCACATGGTACCTTAGCCTGGGGTACCTTAAAGCCAAGATGGATTTTGGTCGTGTAGCCCTCACCAGATGACAGGTGCTTGTAGGTATCTCAAGGGCTTTCTGGGCTGGAACAGTAAGGAGCTGTGAGTGTTTGCATTGGGGAAATGTTTTCCTGGTGAGCTGACACGGGCTGTGCCCCCTCAGGGCACCCATCCAGCCTGCAGGCTTGCAGGGCTCTGTACAAACAGAGCTTGGGGAGAAAAAAATTGGCTGAAATGTTTCTGTTGGAGGAAGCCCCAGATCTGAAAGCCCCAGCTCCACGCTTCTGCTGTCGCTGATTCCCTCGCCTCCGTTTTCCTCAGGTTTAAAGTGTTCGCAGACTACGAGGCTTATGTCAAATGCCAGGAGAAGGTCAGCGAGCTCTACCTGGTGAGTGCCAGCCCGGGGACGAGGTGGGGAAGCTGTGCTGGGGGCACAACATCCCATCCTGGAGAAGGAGTCTGGTGGGGCCACGCACACCGATGGGTCCTGGTTGTGCTGCTGTAGGGGTTCCCGGTTGAAAGCCGGTCTCAGGGCCAACGTGGCACCCACAGCCACAAGCCCCCAGACACACCATCCCACCACTCTCTTTGCAGAACTCCAAGGCGTGGACCAAGATGGTCATCAGGAACATCGCGGCGGCTGGCAAGTTCTCCAGCGACCGCACCATCAAGGAGTACGCCCGTGACATCTGGCACGTGGAGCCTTCCGACCTGAAGATCCCACCGCCCAATGAGCCCCGGGATGCGGCCGAGGACAAGACCCTCAATGGCATGGCGGCTTAGGGGTGCGGAGCCCCTGGGGGACGTGAGCACACGCTGTAAAATTGTCTCTGCTGTCTAGTCTCTATGTCGCTGCTGCCGGCTTTTCTACAGACGGGGAAGGGGCAGGGAGGGGGGAGGGATTTTTATAACCTAAGTGTCGCACGGAAAGAGAAACCGCATCGCCGTGGTGCTTGTGTAGGTGCTAAAAATAAAAGTGCCATCGGTAGCCAAGGGGCTAAAGGCTAAAATTAGGGACTGGGCTGGCTTGCTTGCAACAACGCTAATGCAGAAAGAGGATGCGAGGGGCGAGCTGCTGGGGCTCAGTGCCGGACAGGGTGGGGGGAGCACAGCTGGGCACAGCTGGCTGCATCTTTGCAGGCAATGCTGAAGCAGGACTTGGGGTGCAGCTCAGTGCCAGGGGGGTTAAGGAGTGTTTGCAGTCACGCCTCTGCATCCTCGCCACTGCCCCGTGTGATGCTCACGGTCCTGGCTGGCATGGTCCTGTCCCCAGGAGCAGCACCTGGACCGCAGCGGGATCTCCATCCCCTGAGCGACCTGCAGCATCCCAGAGGCAGCGGGTGAAAATTAGAAAGTTTCTCAGTAGTTTTTATTACGTACAGCAGCTCAGTTCAGTGCAACGCGGGATTCCTGGCGTGGGTTGGAGGGAGTGCTTGTGGTCGCTGCACGCAGCAGCTGGCATCACTTAATGTTCAAGAAGTCTCTGCAACAAGACGCAATAAACCTTACACTGTTATCATGGACCATCCCGCGCTGCTTGAGGGCCTGATTTCTGACCCCTGGATGTGGGTGTGAGCTGGGCTTAGGGCAAAGAGGAGCTGGCGGCTGTCCCCAAGGTCACCTCCCCATGGCACCCGGGCTGAGGGTGGGCTCCGAGCAGCGAGGAGCAACTGGAGCTCAAAAACTGCACCGTAGGGAGGAGAGCAAGTAGACATTGGAATAGCTTCCCAAGAGAAGTGATGGATTCCTCAACTTTAGACACTCTTAATGCTCAGCTTGACAGGGTGCTGGGCCGTCTCATTTAAACTGTATTTCTTTACCTTAAAGGGTTAGACTAGAGGATCCCTGAGGTCCCTTCCAACCCAGTAATCTATGATTCTATGAGAAGGAGCAGGTGGAAGGATGCACCCACGGAAGAAGAGGCCACGGCACATTCTGTGCACACACACACCCCCCGCCCCATTTCTTACTTCACCAGGACGGGCAGCTCCGGGTTGAAGGAGATGTAGTCATGGCCCAGGCCCAGCTTTTTGGGAAAAGTAATGAACTTCACCTTGCTTTTGTCCTTGTAGGCGCTGCGTGCCGTCTCGAAGAGCTGCCGTGGGGTGGGAGCACAGTCAATGACATGCAGAGGGGACCCCAAACCCCCTCGCCCTCCCTTTTAGCTGCTCCCCTCCCAAAACCAGCACCCACCCTTGGTCAAGCCCACGCGGAGGCGATGGTGGTGCCCACCTTGCGGCCCAGGTGCGGAGGCAACACGTCATCATCTTCTGCGTGCAGGATGAGGAGCGGGCAGGCCAGCACCTTCACGCTGCGGGCACGAGCACAGAACCGAGAAGTCACCCTGGGTGGTGCTAAAACCACCCCCCCAGCACTCCTGATCCCCTCGCTCTTCCTCCAGAGGCTGCCCATCAGGAGCCATCCCAAACCATGGGTGGGCAGCTGAACTGCCCCAGGGTGATGCCCACGCTCCTTGCACCAGCACCAAGCACCCTAATAACCTTAAATCTCCCCACCACGGGGTTCTCAGGCTTCAAAACCATCCCTGAACCAGGTGCCTTTCAGCTTTAGCAAAGGCTAGGAGGGGAAAGGACCCTGCACGTGTGTGCAGCGACGCAGGTGGGTTTCGAGCACGGAAAGAAAGGATGATTGCTCGTGGACTTTGCTTATTAGTAATACCAGTAGCTGAAGTTACGCAAATAAAAAGCCGGGCAAACACAAATAAGGGTGCAGGTATCACATGGTGTGACACATCCAAACAGCCCCTCCTCGTCCAGGTGGCCCCAGCATCTCTCCCCCACCCCAAGCGATGGCTGCGCCCCTTCCCTCCGAGCACTCACTTCTCATCGCTGCGGAAGAACATGTTGCCCAGGGCCAGCGAGTCCAGGATGAGGTACCCGAAACCCGGGAACTGGCGGTAGATCTGCCAGGGAGAGGGTCAGCAGGGGCCTGAGCTGTGGCTTTGATCACTGCAGCCACTGCTGGGGGACCCCATGGGCAGAGCCCCCCCGCCCCGCGCTCCCCTTGGTGATGGGGATGTGGGCGGCCGCCTCTCGGATGTTGGTGTAGGGCGACTCCAGGACCACGGCGTCAACCTGGACCCCTGAGGGTGGAACAGGGCGAGAGTCACCCGGGGCACGGCTGTGGGGGGCTGTCTCCCCCCAGCAGGGCTGCTGCCACCCTCCAGGCAGTAGCCACGAGGCCAAGGTGCTCCCCAGCACCTTGAAATCTGTCTGGGGGCGTGCAGAGCCCCAGCAGGGGAGGGGTTGACGCCACATGGGGACAATCCTTGCCCCTACCTCGCTCCTCCTGCAGTTTCCTTGCCACATTCGTGGCAATCCTGTGAGAAGAGAGGTGACAGTGAGGGCAAGCAGCCACGATGTGCAACCAAGTAACGAGTGTTAGGACAAGAGGAAATGGCCTCAGGTTGCACCAGGGGAGGTTTAGATTGCATATTAGGAAGAATTTCTTCACTGAAGGGGTTGTCAGGCATTGGAAGGGGTTGCCCAGGGCAGGGGTGGAGGCCCTGTCCATGGAGGGGTTTAAGAGGCGGGCAGATACAGCGCTCAGGGATTTAGTCGAGGACTTGTCAGTGTCAGGTTAATGGTTGGACTCAATGATCTTAAAGGTCTTTTCCAATCTGGGCCATTCTGTGATGCCCTGGTGGGGTGCACAGCACCCTCACACCCCCTCCCTTTCCCACTGGGTTTTGCTCTGCAGGTGCCTCTAGCAAGGAGCTGCTCCAAGCCCTTGGTCCATCCCTGGGTGACACCACTCTGGCAGCAGTGTCACAGCCCGGGGACTGACACCCACAGGGCGTCCCCATCTTGCCTGTCCCACCTACCCTGTCCCCAAGGAGTGTCCCCAGAGGAGGATGCTGCTGTTCCCGCTCCGTGCTTTGGCCCAGTCATAGAGTGCCAGGACATCTGTGGTGAAGCCGCTCTCTGTGGGGTGCCCGCTGGAGTCCCCATACCCTGGGGGGCACAAGGATCAGTGGCATCATCTGGGGGCGGGGGCAACCATGACAACCAGCCCCAGGAGGGCAGCTCAGCGAGGGGCAGGGGATTTTTACCTCTGTAGTCGAGAGCCAGGATGTGGAAGTCGGCAGCCCCCATTGTCTGTCAGAGGAGCGGCACCGCGTTATGTCCTGGGAGGGGGACGATGCACCCCTAGGTGCCCCAGCGTGGCCGGGCTCGCTCTGCCCAGGGTCCCTCTTGGGTGCCCGGAGACACCAAGGCCCTGGAAGGTCCCCGTCCCTCACAGGGCATCACTTACCTTCAAGAACTGGATGCGGTGCCTTGCAGCCCTGATGAGGAAAGCAAGGTTAGAGCTCCAGGAGGGACCCTCAAGAGATCCGCCCCCCACCATCGGCACCGGTGCAGGTGTGAGACCATGGCGACGTCTTCCCAGGAGGGGAGAGCTGGATGCTCTGGGGTGGGTGGCTTTTGACGTTCCTCTTTAATTCTGAGGGACTTTCCTCCACCCGTGGGGTCAGAAACTGCCGCAGCAGCAGCCCCAGCCCCACTGGCTGCTGCACCCCGG